AAAAAAATAAAAAAACACATCCAAACCCAGCTGATGGAGCATCAGACCTCCCACAATGGAGGAACTGAGACTACACTCTACAACAGGGTGGTGGTTTTCGGTTTTATAATGTGTAAAACATTTTCTTTCTGTGAAACGCCCACTTGTTTTCTTCATTTTTCCCATTAGTCTTGCACAGTAACAAACTTATAATTACCAGTTTTTCTCTGTCAAGAGTAAATTCTTAATTTTATAAAAATGTATGTGAAGGAGAGTTGTAGAAAAAATTGGATTGTAAGTCGTACTGTGTATGGTAAGTGTAAGATTTGAATTCCCCCTCAAATAGCAGAGAGGCTCAGAATGTGTTACACATTTCCTTTTTATTTTTGGCACGTCTGTAATCATGAGAGGTTTTAGACGGGTGCTGATTGTGGACATCTATCCTCGATGTTTATAACAGATCTGTAAAGAGGGATTTCCACTAATGTGTACATGATGTTTAGGTAACACTTTATATTAGGGAACACATATCAACTATTTGCTTATTAGCATGGATATTAGAGGCATATTGGCGCTTTATTAGTCATTATAAAGCACTTATTAATGCCTTATTCTTAATGACCTTATTCTGCAACTACTCCATTGATTAACAGTTTTCCCTTAATTAGCTCCTAATTACTGCTTATTGATGGTAAGTAAGTAAGTAAGTAAGTCGTACATGAATTACAATCAAGTGCTTGGATATGTTCACTTTGTGTTACCGATGTTTATTCAGATTTGATTCTGAGAAGGTATGTGTCTGTCCTTCCTGAGTGCATTATATCCAATGAATGTATCTATATTGGTTCACACCTATAGGAAAACGAAGGCATCTTTAGACATTTACCACTGGACACACTCATGGTCCTAAGGTTTCCATTTTGATTATGTATGTGAATTTCATAATTAAAAACAAAATCTGTAGAAAAAACTGCAACATTATGAATATCTTTTTCACATGAAGTACTTGTTACTCACCAATAGAGAGTCTGGGTAGGAGTTTCATCATCCTGATTATCGCACAAGTGTCTGAGCTCACAAACACAGTGAGGTTGCAGAGCAGAGTGGCAACAGCTGCGTAATCTTCCTCACTTATACTCGGGGCAAGACTTTCACATCCCTTAACACCACCTTCGTAATATTGTTGGTGTGGTGTTTATTAAAAACCAAGATGTTCCTGTTCTCTTGCAGCTGTGGAGTTAATGTTTATCTATCTAACCACTTCTGTGTCTGGCATTTAGATATTTGATTGGCCAATTTCCATTTATTTGACAATATCTGGCATTCTTCATGTGAACACTGTTTTTTGTCAACAAGATCATTTCTGATAAATTGGGTGGAAGGAAGAGATTTGGGCCAGAGAACAACTGATTCAATTTGGGGTCCGTTCTGAAGGAATCACAATGAGTTTGAAGTTTTATTTGTCTTTATCTGATATCTGGGGGATGTTGTTTGACAATGGGCTTTGCAAATGTCTGCAGTGTGTCTGAGTGCCCTTCTAGTTTCATGTGCATGGCTTATTCATAAATGTGTTCCTGGAGAGACCATTATCTCTATGTTGAACCCATTCTGCATCTCCCCTCTGTGGCGACTGGCTTTTCATTCCACCTGGAAGTGTAGCCATTTGGAACACCTAAACATTTCTTATTTCTATACGTCAAGACTGGGTGTTGTACAAAGAACATTATTTCCTACAGGGGTACATGTGATTGGCTGGAAGTTACTAAGACCAATAATACATTTATTACACACATATTTACGCATTGTACATAAGGCTGTGGACAGAGCCTCTGCATCTGAAAAGTTTGGAGGGTATAGTATATAATCAGTATTCCGGCTCTTATAGTTATAGACTTGCATGTTAGAAACCTAAAACAGAACCTGAGCGTGATGTACAAAGTCAAGCACATCATTGTTCTATTAGTGAGCTGATTTTTTACTGCACTGTGAGAAAGCTGGTCCTGGATGCTCTGTTCTGCTTTTAATGATTTTGGGGAAGTTCAGTGAACCCAGAAAGTGTTGAAAATGTTTTCAATTGTATAAAGCTTTGTAGGTGAGATTACAAGTCGCATTAGCAGTTATGGGATTAACAAATAAAGTATATAGAAATTAGAAAGATGATAAAGAGTAAAAATAATGAATAAACCGACTAAGTTCAACAACTGAAGTGCAACACTACATATTTAACCATGTGACAAAATTTACAATCATACACAGCAACCCAGCCATGCAATGCTGTTATGCTATTATCAACATTCTGATAAGGAGTTGATATAACTGTATTAAACTGAGTATCAGCAGCAGGGACTTCAGTTTAGTTTTTAACATGTTATAGTTTTTACAAAATCTACAAGTGAAAATCCTACCTTCCGTGAGGGAATAAGCAAAAAACAACACTTAACTGAAATCACCTCCAAAGAGGGAAAAAGCTATGAAAAGGGTCACAAAATAAATCTCCTCCTAAGAGGGATAAACTATGAACGTTAACTAAAATAAAACTCCGGCGATGAGGGAAAACACTTCTAATATACAAACCAAAAATCTCCTCCGAAGAAATCGAGAGATAACTAAACACTAACCAAGAGAGCTATGAAAACTATGAGGCAAAAGGCCAACAAAAAACACTCTTAACGAGGCAACCAACTGTGACTAGGAAACTTTAACTATGGCGAGACGAAAAGGCTGGTGGCACTTGACGAGAGGACAAGACACACTGGCACAGGACAAAGGGGAGACGCAGACTATAAGCACACATGGAGGTAATGGGAAACAGGTGAGCATAATTAGGATCGGGGAAGACAATCAGACCGAGGCACATGAGGAAAGGTAAGTAACCTGAAACGAGAGGAGAGTTAGTTTTCAAAATAAAACAGGAAATCACAATACAAACATGGAGACAGGACAAAAAGTTAACTTGACCTCATGTTTAGGGTGAAGTTTGGGATGTTGATGAACGAGATGACTAACAGAACGAGGAATGCTTGAGTACTGCTGTTCTTTTCTTCTGTTAGTTAACTGTATCAGCTTCAAGGATGAAAGTATGTCTCTGCTGTTGTAACATCTTATCAACAAGAACCTCTTGGTTGTGAATCCTGAAGTTGTGGATGACCTAAATGCTGATGAAGGAATTCAGGTTCACACTTTCAATCTCCAGCTAAAATAAATGGCTCGTTGTAAGAATTTAAAAATATTACTACATCGTAGGAACAAAGTTTCTGAATGTGTCCCTTTGCTTAAGCTAAAGAAAAACTTCACACTTTATGCAGAGGCAATGTTCTGGTTACCCTGACAGAGACTTCTGCAACAAGAACTTCCTCTGTCCACAATGTCGTCTGTGGCTAAAGATTCTAAGAACAACCACAAAGGAAAGAACATTTTATAATTTATTCAATGTATACTTAACACGACAGGTTTGAGAGTCTGGCAATTTCAATATGTCCTGTACTTTTGCAGAACTGACAATAAAGCAAACTTTGAATTTTGAACTTTTGATCTACCTGATTTATTTGTGTTTTAAAAGCCATTACCTTTAATTTTTCTAATCTATTTATTTCTTGATGAAATCTTTTTTTCCCCCTGCTCTTTCTTTTTCTTAAAGGCCCACGTGACCTTGACCTTTAAGAAAACAAATTGAATCAGTTAATTAGTGACTCTAAAGCCGTTAGACATGACCAACGGGTAAAATCCGGAGAATTGGCTACGGATTGTACCCGTAGTTTGCCTTTCAGACATGCACAACACAGTGGAAGGTTCTCTGCATTGACGCGTTCACAACAGCATCAAATCCTCCACATTATTCAGGTGAAAGGTGGAGCAGCCGGATGCACGACAGAGGCAGGAAGTGATGTATTAACTGAACTGCAGAGATCACGTGATCATGTTTACAGCACCACGACACAGTCGTCAGTTCTTGACATCTTCATCTGTCTTCTTAGTGTCTGTCACAGCTTTTTCATCTGGAGATATTTGTTTTCTTTTAGTTTTTTTTATTTTTTTGTCTGTCGCGTGACGAGCATCATCATCCCCTCTACTCAATAGCAGATTCAAGTCAAGTCCGATTGACTTTCCTGGTTCTCTATGGATTTTATACTAGGATGTCAGGCGAATAAAGTCTGGAGAAACTACGGAGCGTCTCACTCGGACAAAAATTGTTTAGAGAGGTCACAGTGACTTTGATCTTGGACCTCCAAGTTCTAATCAGGTTATTTGTCAGTCTTTGAGGGTTTAGTGCGAAAACGGAAGAAAACTCCCTGAAGGTGCTTTGTGAGGTCAGACAATGACCTTATTGAGAGGAAGATTTGGGATCAGTGATACATGTTTAGATGAGACTCCCCAATGTTTTTTTTTTACATTCTGTAAGACAATGTGAATATTAACATAGCCAGCACATTTAACAGTGAACACCAAGAGCAGACAAAGTGCAGGATATACGAAGAAAATCACCTTTATTTAACTCTCTGTATTTTTATACTTCTTTGAATGAGTTTTACCTCACCATAAATTAAGGAGGATAATGCTGGAGTTGTAGTAACAACAGCTGACAGTGGCAACTTGTCAGCTAAAGGCTGCTGCACATTCGAGGATAGTCGGGCCTAGCCTAGACCCGATTTGCCCCTCCCAACAACTGCTGGGGCGTTCCCAACTGGAGGTCAGTCAGGGCCGATTATCTGCCCAAATTAAGTGTGAGCTGTTCATTAAATAATCTCCATGCCAATGATTGAGTCGGAGCCTCCCTGATCTTGAATCATAAATATCAAACATGTTTATAATTTAAATTGATAAATGGCTCCAACAGAAACTAAATGACAGCAAGCTGACCGGTTAGAGTCACCAACTGGTCGTTGTGCACTAAAAACAACAATATATTTCCAAATGTTTAAGCCAATTCAACTTTCTCAGCTATTAATACATCCAGTTTTTTTTCTTTTCACTGGGAAACAGGCACATGACGTCAGTCCTCCTCCATGTTTGTTTTTCTTCTAAAGCCACACTCCAGTTCAGAATGTGGCGGCAATATACCGAAAGGTTGTTTGCCTTCTCTCATGAAAAAAAAAAAAAAACTGAAGAAGAAGTATATTGCGAGTTTCTGTGAGATTTCAAGTCTCTGGAATCGCCACTGGGAAATCGTTTCCTACAAACGGCAAGTGTGTGGTCCTTTGTTCTGGCCAAATCTTCCAGTGTGTGAGTTCTGATGAATATAAGATTAAACATTGGTGAAATCTGTAATTATGTCTGTGGTCTCTCACGAGTGCGCAGCAGCCTTAACCCTCTAACAGTGGTGTTTATTACCAGATGGGACACTTTGAATTTCAGGTGTCATGGTTTGCTTTGGCTGAAAGTGTCCAACAAGAGGCAAACATTGTATTAATTAAAAACGTACATTTTCTTATGCGTCACAGTTTGGGTTACTGAAGCTTCATCTGAAAACAACCCCAAACAAAACTTGAAGTACACTGAATGATGTGTAGTAACAGTAACAGAGAGAAACATTTGCCTGAAGCTACAGAAAGTCTCCTTTAGATTTCTGGAAGGTAATTTGAGTCAGGGATTATTATTTGTGCCTGATGAGTCTGTGAGGAGAAAGAAGAGACTCCAATTTAGACAATTTTGACAGCAAGGTGGAGGTGACAGTGAAAAAAATGATGGAGGAAGACATCTTCATTGCTGAACTGGGAAAAAAACAAAGACACATGTAAATTTAGGAAAATAACTTTCCATCTCAGTTCAACAACTACTTTCACAGCCTTTTTTATATACAATATATTATTATACATAATGATTCTACATATACGAGGAGATCCACTAATAATAAACACATGTAAGAGTAAAATTACTCCAGAGACCAGACATAGACAGAAGTTACAAGGAAACACCTGTAAATAAATAGTGGGTGAACCAGCTGATTGCTCAGGTCAATCCTTACGCTCACGATGTTACAGCTTGTGTATCACTCAGGGGTCCTGGTTTTAGTGCTTATTGTGTAGAGCTTAGGTTTTGTTAAGTCTGAGACTGTGACCCCCCTCGCTCCAATTTGGTTTACTTGCCAGGGTTTACAGATTTTGATATTTCTTCCAATATTACACTGAGCAAAGAATGCTATTTGATACAACTTCAGACAAATACATACAAAGATATGTTTGTTTCCAACTCTGGGAAAAGTGGGGGAAACAATAAATATATTAAAACTACTGCATCTCTCAAATGAAAGGCAGGGTTGGGAATTTGTTTCTGAAAAATGTCATTAGGTGAAATCCTCTTCACATCCTGACAGCAATTAAAAAAGTCATCTGGAAAAAAAAGAAAAAAAGCTGTCGACTGTGGCTCTCGCAGGACTTTAATAAAAACGATGAGCGAGTCACAGGAAAGTTCTAGCAGGTGTCAGTGCACCTTCATATGGGCGTGGCTTTGACGAGAGAACCGAATGGAGGGGGTGGAATACATTAGTTGCAAGTGTAGCATGCTCTTGCTAGCTTTTCCAGGATTACCAACCTTTGCTTTAACCACATCACACACATTGCAGTCTGTTGCTACAAGATCTCTTGATATCTCATGAAATTAAAAAAAAACAACTTACAATCACTGTTACATTTTCATTTTATAACTAAACTAAATCAATCTCCATCCAAATGAACATTTCATCTTCGTATCAGAAACAATCTCCATCCATACCAGCACATCTGAAAGTATTTATCAAAACCACTAACCTGGAACCTGTACTAAGAAGCAAGTTCAACATTCCCAGGATATCTTTCTGATATCCGGCTTAACTTAACCTGACAAACGCAGTTAGGCTGAGTGGTAGCACGACGCGTTCTACTGTATATTGATATCAGTATACAAATGCACAATGAGGTTTGTAAACAAGTCAGACATTAAATGATAATAAGTTGAACACCAAAAAACAACAATACAAATTTGACTAAAGACTAAAGAAATGTGTAAAAAGTGCATACAGTGTTTTGCTGAGCTTCTCTGCATCATCCACAGTGAACAGGTAACAAGTAAAGAGGCGTAGGTCAATGCAGACAGCCTGGTACTGTGAGCACATTGCTCCTACAGTCAGGTTGGTTATGTTTGGCTCCAGCAGCTGTCAAAGGTTTATCATTCCCCCTGATGAAAAGACCCATGCCTTTCTCAGAGACCCTCAAACAATCTGCGCTCCAAGCTCCAAGGGATCCTCTAAGAACGGCAACGTCATGTTTGAAAGGAGCTGATTTGTCAGTGGGAGAAACTTTTATAAAAGGTTGATCTCTTATCTCGAACTGCTCCGGAACAGGTTAGCCATTCCAGTTATAATGGTGATTTACCCCAATAAGAAGTGAACTAGCTTTGTAGGACTGAAAACTCTGAATAAAATGTGAAGTTACCCCAGTAATCGTAAATCCTGCCTCATAGTACAGGGCCCTGGCATGTCTATGCCTGTGTAAACAGAAAGAAGACTGTCTACTCTACAATTGATTACTGAGTCGCAGAAATACTAAGAATGAGGAAGAAAATGGCAAAAGGTTTCATGAGAGATGTCTTTGCTTGGACCAACAACAAGGTGGATAATTTACTGTGAGGGTAAGAAACGCTTGGAATTGGTTATCCATGCTGTCTTCACTGCTGGTAGTTAACTAATGAAGCCCAACTAGGAAACCAATGAGGGTGACTCTGTCATTGTTTGCTAAAGTCTAGACTAAAACGTGACTTGAGTTTTCAAAACTAAAACGTTTCCAAAAGTCTCAGCAAAAGTCATGTGTTTAAACTCAAATGTATTAGTGTGGACGCAGCCTGCACGGACATGAAGGACAATTCACATAGGACTGATTAAAGAAGGTTCTGCTCCAGGTAGATATATGTTTAGAAGCATCTAAAGAACTGCAGCTGTTGACATCATTTTGTGAGGATTTAATTTTGTTTATTTGTATTGTTGCTGCTGAAACTCACAGGCTGTAACATCATCAGAACAAATGAAGCACCTGAACAAAACACTCGGCAATGCTGGAATTAACCACCGGCAACACCTGCCTGATGCTTTTATGATAGAACCACATGGTTGGAAAAAACTGCCACCATGCCTCTGTTATCTACCTACGTGTGTGTGTGTGTGTGTGTGCGTGTGTGTAAGTGTAAGATACAACATCAGTGTGTCCATAGAGTATTTACACAATCCTTCATTAAGGTCGAACAGTCTGAAAAATACTTAACATTTCAGGTATTATAAAATGATTTAAAAAAAAAAAAAAAAAACTTAAATCACATTTTTTGCAGTGTATATATGAAATGAATGTCTGGACATCCCATCAGGCCTCACATCACAGTATTCCTGCTGTCCGTCCCTGCAACAACTTTGCTTCTCTCGCATTTCAAGTTTATAGGTTCAGCAGTCCATACTGTTCTGTCCTCCATATTATTATGTTATCAGGTGCAATTTGTTTCTGCTATCATTCCCTGGTTGTGCCATGTGCACTGCCCTCCCCCCCACCGCAGTGTGGAGCAGAGGTGCTGAGTGCAGAACTTCAGGCTGAGGGTGAGGGGAATGATGGGGAGCAGGGTGCAGGGCTTGGGCTTGGAGAGTGGACTGATTTGGGTGACGGACTTGGATGGCAGCTCCTAAGGTCTGTTTCATCCTCCTGCTGGCCTTCTGCTCGACCCTTTCCTCCTCCTTTCTCTCCCCCGACTCCATGCCCCTCCAGACCCTCAGAGTTCTCCAGCATCTCCTGGATGAGAGGAGGCATGGAGCCAGGGATCTCCATCTTCAGAGTGATCACTCGCTCTGCCCCTAAAAGATAAAGATACATCAGGATATCAGAGCAAGTCCTTATGAAGGAGCCTTCCTTCCCTGAAAATGTGATTATTATTTTGCAATTTCTTTTCATTATCAAATGTATAAATTGAATAGAACAAAAAACATCCATTCTTCCTATCTTTGAGACATAAGACAGATCATATGTGTTAAATACAGTGTGGAAAAGTTCACAGGAAATATTACTACCCTTAGAAAAATGAGTACACCATGCATTCTAAAATATAATAATGCTTTGCTGTTTTCCAGATGATTGTTAATTCACCATAATCCAAATCAACCACTTTCTGCAGAGACGTTTCACATTAAAACCCTCAAAGGTAAATCACTGCTTTCACAAGGCTGTGAAAAAACCTGCAGGACATGTGACTGAAGGCAGCGTATTAGAGATCAGGAAATGACAAAGTGGAAATGATGAAATCATTTGTGAATTGAAATGTTGTTTTTTTTTGTTCAAATGAAAAGCTCTGCCATCTAGTGACCGCCATTGTATTTACATTATGTCAACGTCATCATGGTGGAAGTGCAGGGTTGGCAAAAAACATTAACGATAATAAATCATAACACAGAGAGGCTACTTAATAAAATACAATGTAACAATGATAAACATAAAATACCTGTTATAGAATTTGACAATACATGCATCTGCATCTGTGTGAGTCTCACCTTTCACACTGATGCTGCGGAGGTCAGTGATCTTCATCAGTATTTTGGGGAACATACAAGGTTTATCAGGCCTCCTCCTCCTCACATAGATCTGCACACACATAAAGACGTCCTCTAAAGTCAGCAACCATACATGACTGTGATGATGGTGATGAGTCCTGTGTTGAATTCTCTTTGGTAAATTAATTTGTGTTTTAAATCAGCATCCACTTTTTTTTTTACTCTTGTTTAAAGACTCCTCTTACAGTTGCCACATTACTGCTAAATTTAGTATAGAATAAATATTACATGAAAATGGGTTTTTATATTATATATGTGTGTAGCATTTTATTATTCTGCCAGTTATGATTAACAATGTGAATAACAGTTTCTAACAGATAAAACTGATGATCATCGATATTTTCACCGACAACAAATCCCATGATTGTGTGTGACTCAAAAGCTGACACATACTGAGATTCATTGATATAAATATATAGAAATAATGTTCCTGGGAGCTGAGGTATTTTTTGTTTTTATTCTTTTGTGGACTTAGTTGGAAAAAAGTTAAAGATTATTATTATAACAACCAAAGACTTCAGTTAGCTAGTATAAACACACCTTTTCTTTGTATGTAAATATAATACAGAAAAGCACATTTATGAGGTGGGCAACAATGCAATAAACCGAAAGTGACACGGTCGTATAATGATGATAGTAAATCAGATGTCAAACCTTCAGGGCTTCTAACAAAGGCTCCTGAAGAACGTCCACCTTTTCTGGTTCCTCCAGATCCTGACGATCTGCATGCACAACCCAAAAAACACATCATAAATCACACACTCGCTCAGAACATCAAGCAGCTCTGCATTTTCCCATGATCTTCTTTTATACAGTTTTTCTTTCATATTCCTGAGGAGTGAAGTGCAGTACCTCCACAGAGCAGGCAGATGGCGCTGAGCAATCCTGTCTCTGCATCATCCATCTCCAGCGGGAGCAGCTGGCTGGCGAAGGAGAATACGAAGTCTGTGAGAGGTCCGAACCCAGCGTTGTGCATCTGGGTACGGTTCAGAGTCAACCCGTCAGAGAAAGTCATCGTGTCCTGGTCTGGGGTGTAGCGGGTGCAGATCCTCAGAATCTAGGAAATGGGGGATGACGTGTTGAAAGACAAAACTCAAATACTTTTTTTAAATACATAACTCTGCTGTGCCACAACTGTACATCTTCCCATGTGTGGACACGATCTCTGTCTTTTTTAAAGCGGTTACATTCTGACTGAAAACAGTATTAAACTCACCAGTATGTCGAGGCAGGCGGCTTTGAGCAGGGTGATCTGATCAGCGATGGTGAGCGTTATGAAGCCTGGCAGCTGCTTGGCGAACTCCACTGTCTTAATGATGCATTTGGTGGACAGTTCACTGAACTTGTCCCAAAGACTGACATCCAGCGAAACACGGTGCTCTGCGCTGTTGCTCTGTAGATGAGGGTCAGGTGACGAATAGAACAGAAAACGTCTTTATAGTTTAATCTGTACATTCGATTTGTCTTTAGTGGTGGCTTTTTTGTTTTGCTTTTTTGATTCATATAAACTTGGGTTCACTGATTGAGGTTATTCATGTGTTAATAAAATGCTGTGTCTGTTTGATTACCGTGGTGTATTTTCCCAGCTGACAGAGGGAGGGAAATGTGTCCTTATGGGCCTGACGAACTCGCTCAATCATCTGCTCCGTGTCTGCGGACAGGACGTAGATCTCCGGCTCCACCTGCCTCTTCTCCTCCTTCTTCTTTTTCGATCTGTCATTTCGCACTACTGATGTCGGGAGGTAAAGATAGGAAGACGTGTCTTAGACATTTGAGCAGGAATTCGATTCAAGGACAAGGAGGTTGCTCTGTCAAGTCTTTAAATCATCACTAAAAGAAATGTCACTTGTCATGGGGAGCACGACACACTTTGAGAGAGCAGTCGCATAATCAGGCAAACTCACATGGATGAAAAGGGTTTCTTACTTGTCACAAAGGGTGGCCAAGCGTTTGCTATCATAGCCCCCACATTATGGAATTTGCTCCTCATTAATAGACAGACTAAATCCTTAGCTTGTTTTATTTACATCTCTAGATTAATAGTTTTGGCTCCTGTATACACATATATAATTTATTTCCAGCCAATCTAATAATTATTTCAATAACTATAATTATTTTAATTTATCTATGTCAACTTGTCTCCTATATTTTTAACTCTGCTTCTTGAACTTGTCTTCCATGCCTCTTACTGCATTTGACTTTTTTCAAAAGTACTACAAGGAGTTTTTAACTGGTTATGAAACATTCTCCTGTTGCTGCCTCTTTGTGACCTACAACATCAAAGGAGACAATCTGGGAGAAAATTGTCTTTTTCTATGGACTATTCTTAACGTCTGTGGTCGGGTCGGATCACTGGTGAGGTCAGACAAAACTATTTACGGCAGGCTTATTGTTAGTATATGAACGGTGCTAAAACTAAATTACAATGTTGTCATATTACAGTTATCAATCATACAACAAAAGATAAATTGCCACATTGGTATGCATCCTACAATCAGCTGTGTATCGTTTCACTCCTTCCAAAATAAATGCACATGCTGGCTCGACCAGAGTTTTTACGACAGGAGCGGTGGAAAAACTACTACTGCAAAATCAACAAAAAAACAAAAATGGACACAATAACATTTTCCTCCAATTATATAAGGTTTTCTCCACACAATTCCCCTGCATTATAACATTATATTATCATTTCAGTCCTGTTTGTTTGAATTTTTAATGAAATCTATTTGGTTGGTTTTCTTTGTGACAAACTGATGATTAAATGTTCCTTCTGTATGAAGTGAAAACATATTTTCTCAGGATGTGTCATTCTGTTTTGTAGAGGAAACTTTACTTGGCACACAGCACAGAGTATCAGAGCAGTCTGTGGATCTTCTATTGTGCATAAAGTTTGTTCACAAAAATGCTGAGTGTAATTCAAGTGAGATTTGTTTCTGCACCATGGTTCTCCTTTCCCAACTCCCTTCACATCGTGTTGAGCAACATGAATCACCTTTCCAAACCACAATTCCCATGACTTTGATGGAAAATATCAGGAGGTCAAGGAATAGTGGTGAGGAAAGGAGATTATTTTGACTTTTTTTTAAGTTAATGCCTGCAAGTTTAGAGTGGAATGTCTTCCCTGTAAAAATCCACTAGGAGGAGACAAATATCAAGTTTAAAACACATCACTGAGCTGCTGGGAAAGAACTTTAAAGCTTACCCTGCTTCAAGTGTCCTCTTATTATGTGACTACATATTAATTATAGACATCTGTAATTAAGTGTCCCACTACAATTTCAGTTTTCTTACATTCTCTCTGAGAGTGGATGTGTTCACTGTTTATTTAGTGTACTCACACTCCTTGGACATGCCGACATCGAGACATTTCTGTAGTCGACAGGACTGACAGCGGTTCCTCGTCACCTTGTTTATGACACAGACTTTGTCTCTGTGGCAGGTGTACACCATGTTCTTCTGGATGCTTCTCCGAAAGAAACCCTGACACAAAGAAATGAGGTCAAAGACTGGAACACAGCAGCAGGGGAACAGAAAACATTGTACACAGAATAATAATCCTCTAATTGAGCTAAGAGTGACTGATTTGTTTTGTCGGAGCACAAGACACAAACACAAAAAAAACCAAAGAAGTAAATACAAACTGCATGCACTGTTTGTTTGTGTGTGTGTGTGTGTGTGTGTGTGCGTGTGTAGAATTAGATAAAGCAAAGAGGCTTACAGATCAAGGTCATGACCTCTTCCCTGACACATTAAGCTAATTCTCTGTAGTCTCATGCTCCTTGTATTCATTCTATATTTAGGTTTTCTAGCTGTAGCTTGCATCTATTTATGTACCGTTAAACCAGAAGAGGTGCTGTAGTTTGTGCATGTTGTGCTCTTAAGTTTAGCCAAAGCACACTGTATGTTTAGCTGCCTACCTTGCAGCCCTCACAAGCACTGACTCCATAGTGGTATCCTGAAGATTTGTCCTGACATACAAAGCAGGGCTTGTAGATGCGGGGCGGAGGTGGAGGTGAGGGGGGGCTGGGTACAAGAAGGTCCTCCCCTGAACTCGTGCTCTCAGTCTCTATAGCTGCAGGGACAGACAGGGGGGAACACACAGATATGCATTCAGTCATAGTGCCATTTAAGTGCATTCTCGCTCCTAAATCAATGTCTCTCTACGATTTGCCTTTAGTTGTACCAGGATTTAGAAAAAGATTATAGTATTTATTCATTTGAATTAATGACGCCCCCTTCTTTTGGTTTCCTCCAAAATGGTAATGGTACAAGATTGGAGCAGAGCTGGCTCAGGTGCCTGGATGCAGGGAGAATAAACAGTAGTTTAACAGGACTCCTGTTGGTAGTCTTCACCCTGCATTGACTAACCTAAACCAGATGACAAGTACAAATAAAACTTTTCTAGTCTTACTGAACACTCAAAGTGCTTTACAGTACAAGTCACATTCACTTTTTTTCTACTACACATCATTCACATACTGCTGACACATTGCCATAGGAGGGCAACTTGGGGGTCAGTATCTTGACCAAGGACAATTTGGCATCCAGACCGGAGAGGCCAGATATCGACCCACCAACCCTCTTGTTAGTGGATGACCCACTATATCACCCGAGCCACAGCCACCCTGTGTTTTTAAGACATTGTGATCTTGACGGATTCTTGGTTGAATGTGTACAGTGAAACATATCAATGGAGGATGACATAAGCTCCAACACTAAAAACCATTATATTAGCAACGCGGTGTAGAAAACACAACTGCTGCCCTTTTGTTTTTTTCTATATGAATACACAGCAGTATATTGAGGTACTGAACAGAGAGACACTTTATCATATTTTTTCTTATGCCATGTTTCTGGCCAAGTATTGAAAACGTATTATTCATTCACGTAATACAGTGAGATATGAAAGAGGGTAAAATAATGACAATATTAGACGATCCAGTGCAATCGAATTCTAGCAATACAAGTCCGTCATTGCTGTGTATCAGGAAAAAAGAAAAGAACCTTGTACTATAGCCCTGCAATAAATCCATGTAATGTTCACTGTTGTCAGGACAAAAGGTGTTGATCTTATTCCACATTTTGTGAGCATTGAATGTTGTATTCTCATAGGTATCTAGTGTTTGCATACATTTCTAGACAGCTGGCTACTGTCCAAGAGACTTTATTCAAGGTCAAACCAATCTTCTGTAATGTCCATTTTTATAACCAGCAGATGTCACATGCAGATTGTGTTTATGTGCTTGTGTGTTTCTCCTTGTGGAATCCAGGCAATAGGGTTCAATTTCCTTCACGACTTGTTTTATATATTTTGACATAAAAGACGTTACACCAGACGCATCCACCTATTTAAAACCAACAAGACCTGACTATCAAATGTGTATAGCAATGAACTGGGAATGTATTTTTGCATGGATAAAATGTTGAACACAAAATTAAATAACTTGTCTTGAGGTTGACCAGGGTTGCTGGCTGAGCTCAGGACAGTTCAGTGTGGTATATATGCAGGCAAAGTAGCAATGTCCTGTTATTTTGAGATGCTGATAGAGATGTTCTGATGAGATGTTTCTGATAAGTGGACTTTTCTTAGCAGCTAATACAGAGTACCGATCCAGTGCCAATGCATTTAAAAAACAATGAATGCCATAGACAAATGCCTGAGAACACAAATAAATAAATCTAGGAATACACAGCAATTATTTCATTTAAATAGCTCAAAACTGAAGTCTTCAATACGGTACACATCGCCGCTTTGCTAGTGCGTCTTTCCAAGGTGAAATGTTGCCAAATTGCTGACATTTCAACTCTAGCTAAAGCTACACTACCATAAATCATTTCTTCCTCACCGCTCTAAAAGCAGTACTAACCAGTGGCTGAACAGAGCAGCTGCTGTTTTGAAGTGGTGAAGAAGTGATTTCCGGGGAAATCAAGTTGCAGTTTTATCTGGGTGAAACTAATGTACCTTAAAGACGTGATATCACAGTGGTACAAAGGTCATTCTCATGCTCCACCCAGCATTCCGGCAGTATCTATTTTCAGCAAGTGTTTTTTCTTCCTTTTTTTTTGTTTTTAAAAACACGTTACATCTTTTCCAGAGATCACCCAATGTCCTAGAGGTGTAGTATCAAGATACAAAAGTTAGGTTCAGGCTTGCACTGTTGGCAGTGGGTTCTTGGTTTCACTGGGGAGATGAGTTGGTAGAAATGTGCAGCGCACCCGTTCAAAGGACATTTGGATTAAATGTCATTATTTGGGGAAGTAACTAAGAGTAAAGTAACATGTATTTCCACAGTGGGTCGCCATGCAGCCTATGAGCCAGGCTTAACCAAAAACCTACTAAATATGTTTCCTGAAATGTCCAACCATTTCATAAAATGCAGGTTTAAAATTGAAAATGATAACAGGTTGGCATATACTAATATTTGGCAGAATAGGCATCTATCTGTTTGCTCGAAAAGAGAATATATGATTCTTTTTGTTGTGTATGGGCCACTGTAGATTTTGAAGCAGATACTAGACGTCTGCTAATTGTCATATCTTTGGCGTACAAACAATTAGTTCAACTGTTTAACAAAATAGTGAACTCCACAGTATGCTGACAAACTCCCTCTCATATTTTACCTCAAGGTTCAGTATTCTTAAAGCATCATCTGGGGAGTGAAAACATCAGATTTGCCCACACTCAAAGGAGGTGCAACCTGGTGTTTCAATCAATCCAACTACACTGTGTCAGCTGGACAACGAACTGCCGACAGAAACAAGTTGAGCTGCCCTGCACGCCGAATCCTCTGTCTCAGCTTTCATCACAGTTTGGTTTGTGGTCGAGTTCTTTTAAAATGACTCCAACAGTTCATAAAGTTAACGGGTGGCCACACTGTTGCATTGGAAAATGTGTTGGTGTGGGGGGAAGTAGGTTTACTCACAAAATACAAGTTGAATCGGGGTCAACTTATAGGACAAACCCCCAGTGATCTCCTGTGCGATCCTGAAATTCTTCAAAAGCTCAACAAATGTGATGGAGACAGGGGAATTTGAATTTATAACAATATATTCATGCCGTATAAAAGAATATCCTACCCCATCATACTATCCATACTGCCATCTTTCCCTCCTTTCACCTCTCCTGTTTGTCTTTGCTTTCTTCTCACGCACACTCCAGCCAACACTTTCAAACCCTGTCTGACCTCTTTTAAACCCCTCTCTCTCTCACCTCATATTTCCAAGAGTCTTATGCTTGTGATTTCATCTGTGTTTGTTAATCTCTCCCCGCTGCCTCTCTCTCCTGCTTTAGTGAGCAAGGCATTCTCCTTACTGTTGATATGAGGGGCAGTTCAACAGAGAGGAATGTCTGTGACTCATCTTGAACCGTTTGTTAGGAGAGGAATCAGATAAGGGCAACAGTGTTTACATTGTTTCATCTCATCAGCAAACATCATGAAGTGACTCACTATTTTTACATATACGCATTTCACTCACTTTTAGATATTAAGTATAAATTTTGGTAAACAACCATGTCTTGGCCCAAAAAAATTTCAGCGACTGATTGTCTGCAGATTATATAACCACACTATGGGTTTAAAGTAAATAGACTTTATATATTAATTCCTACTTGACAGTCGCATTTATCACGTCTTTCCAGTGTTGGAATATCCACCACAGGATGAACCCCAATAACACTGGTAACTCAATACTATATAGTGGACAGTGTTACAACTTCTGACACCTAATAATTGGTGCCATTTTTGCATCAAGACTAGAAAGTGTATTGTTGCACAGAAGTAATTGTAAGTTCTATTTTTATATATACAATAAACACTCAATTTTTCATTCCTGCATAGGTTTACACTCCAAATTCAGACTCAAACAAAATTAATTAAATATAGTGCATAAATGGTCAGAACAGCCATAGTATTGTTTTTAGGTAATAAAGCTAAAAACAATGTTATTAGTCTTATAAATAGATAAAATCCTTACGATAAATCTTGAAGCTCAGGCAAACTGTTTAAAGGTACATTTGTGTAGAATTTAGTGACATCTAGTGTTGAAGTTGCATGTTGCAGCTGAACACCCCTCACATCACCCTCTCCTTCCAAACATGAAAAAGAACCTGTGGTAGCTTCAGTTGTCATAAAAACCCAAAAGGTGTTTAGTTTGTCCAGTCTGGACTAGTTTAAAAAACATGGCGCCCTCCATATAGAGGGTCCCTTCCATGTAAATATAAAGTATTTAAATATAAAGGGCCTTTTCTGGGGTAAAGAAAACTACAATTTAGATGAAACCAACTAGTGAAAACATCATGAGGATTATTCTACATTAAATTTCTGCCAATAGTTCCCTTTCACCTAAATCTTACACTCTGGACCTTTAAGTTAACAGAATGAAATGACGACATGTTTTTTGGCTCATCATGAAGATATTACTTGGAGGCTGCAGTCACACCAGAGGCTGTGATGACCCATGTCATTCAAGGTGAAAACCACACCACTGTCATCAGCTACATCCTCTCACTATACTTTTACATTAAGAAAGGGAATGTCAGCATCATTGTATACATACAGTGAAAGCTGTGCCATCGATTCACGGCCCTCTTCAATCTCAGTTTTTACATTTCTGCCACATTCGCATCAAACCAAGCTCCCCCTTTTCTCCCTGAGCTGTAGTGATAAATGACAGAACTGTGTTGATCTGTGATGGTGTGTACACAGGAGGATGGGGAAGATATGACAACATTTCTCTGTGAGTTTATGTGTGCGTGTGCATGTGCGTGTGGGTGTGCGTGTGCATGTGTGTGTGCGTGTCAGCGGGGAAATAAAAAGTGAGTCAGGCAGATTATCATAAACCAGTGCTGTGTGCAACTAAAAAGCAGTTTGTAATGTTTTACTGGCACTGGCATGTTGCTAGTTGCACAATTCAGCAATAATAAAAAGTAATCACAGTTTTACTTATTATTATGCAGACCTGCACAATGAAATGCAATAGCAATAGCATAGCAATGTGGTGTGGATTTCAGTAAAACCAAACACTGTTCAGAATATAACTTAATGCAAAATGTATGATGCCTGCAGCTGCTGAGCAATTGTTAAGGCACAGGCTGTGGCTATACACACTAACTGCAGAAAGACAAGCAACAGAATAAAGGTCATTTGTGAATATGGCGGAGAAGTGCAGTGAGTGGTCAAAAAAGTCAGCAAAGTAAGACCAGACATTCATTTGAGACCCAGGGCTTACCTGGGTCAAAGCATGGCTAAAACCTTCCAAAGTCAGGGTCAGTTCATGTTCAAATCCATTGGGACAATGCTACATGTTAGCCAGCACTGGACTAAGCCGTTTTCCGAATGTAAAACACATTAAATGGTCTCCACAGGCAGTCCTGGCTTTATGCCCGCAAACAGTTCCTGAACAGAGAGCACGACCTGTCAGCTTAGAGACCGGCCTCTAATCACTTCACTCAGTCCCTCTCTCTGCACATTTCACCAGGCATAGAAATGAAGGTTCATAAAATGATTTTAACAAAACTTAGCATCAGTGCTAATGACTAGGCTAACACACCAACAGTACAGCTCAAACAGCTTTTACCACCAATTGTTCCACTTTCACCTGCACCCAGGGCTGGGCAGTATGGATACCATCCTTTTTTCAAAGTACATGCAACTTATCTACCAACACCAATAATAAATGTAAATATGAATGAAAATCTAATTGGGTGATGATATATGACTAAAATGAACAAATACATCTGTTTTGAGCTGATCAAATGAACAAATCCAAGCACTGACCTCCCACATTATAAATGGTTCATCACATCTTTGTCAATATTTGTTGTGACGGTTCACAATGTAAACTCTCAGTTTCCTGTGGCAGCTTTATGAACAGGAACAGCAACAGGAACTTAAATAACATCCGCATCTGTGATGGGTAATTCTTGTTGTCCTTTGATATTTGAAAAGACAGGCCAATTAATAATGAATATAATTGTTAGTTTGATTTGATTCTGAGCAGGATTATTTATGCTGATAAAGAATTTGATAAGACAACATCAATACAATAAAACAATTTAAATAAACTGTAAAAAATGATTCTACATAATCTCAAATAAATTATAATTCCTTGTTGCTTATCTGAAATAGAGACATGTGTGTGTACACCCAAACACTAAGTATTTTACTGTTAAGTTGTTCTTTCTGCTTTATCCTATATCTTTTCAATGCAAACGATGTGAAGAGGTGACATGTGAGAGGAAACTCCTCTATGGTCAACGCAGACAAAGACTATGACTAATACAAAAGCTGCTTTCAGACTTAAACTGGACTCTGCAGAAGATGTCAAGAGAGTTTGTGTTGATAAGAGCTGACGACAGTGTCGGGGGGCTGTAAACATGATCACGTGATCTACACAGCGGAGTGAATACGTCGCTTCCTGCCTCTGTCTGCTGCACCCAGCTGCTCCACATTTCGCCTGAATAATACTGAGGATATAATGCTGTTGTGAACACATCTGTGCAGAGAACCACACGCTGTGTTGTGTATGTTTGCATGTGGTAAACTCTGCAGCCAATGCTCCACGTCATGTCTGAAATGTCCCTTTTTTTCTCTCTGACCTATGATGAAACAACAGACATAACAAACACCACCCACCTTATCATTTGATATAAGGGAGGATTTGTTTAAGCAAGTTATTTTGGCTAAAACCAGCTGTGAGTATCATCATCACCATCCTCTGACATCAGACACGGAGCAGCATTTCCAGCCATTGCTTTACAGAGTTCACTGTGAGATGTATTAAGTAATTTATTATGATCTGCTGCTGGATGGATGTTATAAAACTAAAACAGTCCCTGATAGGAAAAAGGTTCCCCACCCTTGTGTTAGATACAAACACTGACATGCAACCATCCACCTCCTCCCCTTTTCACACACTCACACTCAGGTCTAACTTGGTCAGTATTTCCTCACATTTCCAGACAAACTGTGAGTGTGAGTGAATGGCTGTGTGTGTGCGTCACCGTGTGTGTGTGTGTGCGTCTTCAACGGACAGAAAGAAAGGTCATTCAGTGCAGAGAAGTGATGACTGGGCAGCTGACACAGGAAAGAAAGAGGCAGATAGAAGGAGAAATAAAGAGTGAGAGAGATGTAGGTCACTTCCCAATTGTCAGTGAGTCATTGCTCTGGATCACACACACACACACACACACACACACACACACACACACACACACACACAATCTTGCAGCTTGTGCTTACATGTTGCTTGAGCAGTCACTGAATGTGTGTGCATGACTTTGACCTTTGAACCCGTTTGACACTCTTCATCCAGTCACACACAAAAACACACACGGTACCTCACTCTACCTTTTTTTTTTTTTCTTGTCGGCTAACCAGAGTCCACTCTATTTATGACTTAAACTCTGTTGTGCAAGGGTCATGTCACAGTGACATCATCATGTCGCTACCCTTGGGTTACTGACTTTCACGCTGGCTGTCTCTAACATGTGACGACTGGGTTGCACTCTCAACTCACAGCAGGGCGCTCCCATGTTTGCATGTTAAGCAATGAGTGACCAATTATCATCCCGGGCTGATAATTATCAATGAATTGAGTTTTTTTTTTTACTAATTATCAAAATCAAGGAGAATCTTCAAATCTTTTGAATGATCTATTGCAGTCACGCACATACTGTTATATCTGTGTTCCCAAGCAACCATGACACCAGCGACACACTCCATAGCAGTGGGTGGCAGTACTGAGTCACTTTACAGTTTCCATGCCACCAGTGAGGATAAAAAGAGCAGGAAATGCAAGTTGACCACAACAACCACGTTGCCAACTAACAACTGCCCCCCCCCCCCCCATTGACATAAAGTTGCCACTGGTAGAAACTGTGTTTATAGCAAGATGCAGCCCAATTGCTTTATTTCATTTCTCAGCCTCATAAATTAAGTAATTCATTTGTGCATTCCCTTATTAGATTGTGATCTTAACATCTTGTCAACATGTAAACTGACTTATATCAACAGTAATGAGTTCCAGAAGGCCAGTTCTTCCACCTCAGACTGAATTCATGCAGCCACTACATTGTGTGGATCATTAGTGGAACATATTCACGTGTGAACTGCTCACTAACTGTGGGTTGCTGTCACAGTAAAGCCAGCTCCAGTTCCAGGATCCAGCATTACTTGAACTCAGAGCCCAACAGAATTCAATGTGCTAGCTTCACTGTAATCACTACTTATGGCTGCAAAGGCTGTTGTTGCCAGTGCTCAGCAAAGGTTAAGTGGTGTTTCTTTAAGGCCCCTTAGAGGAAAAAAAGGAATGATTAAACCAGATAAATTGTATGAAGGTATCACATGCAATGCACACATTTTCATCCTGGTTGCTCACTTTTTGCAGCTTTGTAATTAGGATAAAAAGAAATGAGTTACAATCACCTTCAATACCAAAATAATACTCTACAAAAAAAAACTATCACTATAAATACAATCTGTGACATGTTGAATATTCCTCTAAGGTTGTGACTAATCATTTATTTTCTAAAAGCAATCAATCAAGCATTTGTTCTTTAAAATGTCAGAAGATAGTTAAATGGTGATTCTTCAAATGTCTTGTTTGATTCAACCAACAGCCCAAAACCCAAAGATAACCACCATTATTTTACTATCACATAACCCAAAGAAAGCAGCTGAAGCTGAAACAAGGCTATTCTTAGATAAAGAGCCTATCTCTGATTAATTTAATCAAAATAGTCAGCACCTTCCTGATTTATTGATCAACTATATAATTCAGCTTTAATCAATCAACTTTATATATTAACAATGTGCAGCGTATGGCGCTCTGATCTCATTCCCACCCACTGTGAAGCAAGTTTGGCTGCATGTGGAAAATGAACGTCGGCTGCTGCTGACCCACTGAGGCCATTTGAGTTGCTCCATTCACAACAAACCCTCAAGCCACAGAAACGGACAGTGTAGATACCCGTCATTTCTAAACGGGTGGTCATCTCAACCTGCATGCAAAGGTGGGAGGTTTGTCAGATATAAGGGTGGTGGCAATCAGCACTTGGACATCGAACAACATGTCACAGGATGCATGATAACGTGTTCAATTCAAACTGCATCAGCAGAGGAACAGCAACCATCGGCTGCAACTGTAACTTAACATCATTCGTACATGATTATGTAAAGGTCTACTGATGTCACTTTGTCCAAACCCTGAGAAAAAAGTCAGATAATGAAGTTAATAGACAGAGAAACCACATCCACAACAAAATATAAGAAGATATCTACTTGATTTGAATTGTGTAGACACCAACAGTAGTCTGCCTGAGGAGGGGGGCTTATCTGCTAATCGCAATTAAAGAGAGCAGGAAAGGAAAGTGGATGAAACTACATGTTGTTGCTATAGAACAGTGTTCATTTAGGGTCTACTTTATCTCTGACTGTCACGGGGGCTGTGGAGAACCTGATGATAGAAAGAAAGGGAGCTGGCATGTGCCCCAGTGTGCAGATCATGCATCCATCCAGCACAAGATCACAACGACTAAAGCACAAGCAGTGGTTCACTCTGTCACTTCTCAATCAGACCTATTGTCTTCTTTACATGTGCAAATGATGTCGAATGGCACTCACAGTGGCAGGATCCGCTCCAGTGCCTCACCAGAGACCCCCCGAATGGACGCTGGAGTCCCACGCCGGACAGGAGTCCCTTCTCCGGCCCGAGCCCCGGGGGTCTGTGGTAGTAGTCCATGCTCAGGAAGGAGCCGGGGCTGGGGCTGCTGCGGCCGGGGCTGGGGCTCAGACCCACAACATCCACGCTTTCGTACATCCCAGAGAAACGGGGGAGGGACGGGAGGACGGGGTCGCGTTTGATCCCCTTTGTAGCCAACAAAATAAGAGCAGGAGGGGGAAAAAATATCAAAGCGTCCCGAGCGGCGGGGAGAGAGAGAGAGAAGAGAAGAAGAAGGGAAGGGAGGGAGTTCACATCTTCATAACAGCCCGACGGCAGGAGGGGGAGGTGGGGCAGAGAGGCGCAGATGACCCGTCCTGCTGACCTCCTGTCCCTGGAACAACACGAGCACTTCACCGCCACAAAGGACGGCTCTTTTTGTTCCTGTGTAAATGCTACAAGTGTCAGTGAGTTGAGCTGCCGGGTCCTCGCTACTTTGTTCCAGCACCGCAGATTCAAACAGGACTAAAGAGGTCACGTTACACTACATCGTGCTCCACTTCCTTCACGACGACCTCGACGCCTCACTCGGGTCCTCAACGCCGTCGCTTTGTTTTCGCGTGGATTTTCCACCCGCGCTTCACAGATGTCGCTTGTTAATCATCGTGTTCGCACTCACGGTCTCTTTCGCTGTGGCGGCCAGCCGCCGTCTCCCGCACGCGCAGCGAATGGAGGTAGCTTGCGCCGAAAAGTAGCAGCAATGTCCGGTCGGCGGAGACGCGCTGCTCCGCTCCGGTTCAACCCTTCACACTAACCAGACGAGGACCCCCACACGGAACGCAGCCCCGACTCGTAACCGTGGCCGAGCAGCGCTCTGAAGTATCCGCAGTGTGCCCGGGAAGCAGCGCGATATCCGAAGGTGCTCAGAGTTACTGAGACTCTCCCTGGTGTTGAGGTCCGGCGGCGGCTCAGGAGCAGTGTCCTGTGGTAACCTCCCCCTGCACCCGACGGCCCCGCTCGCTCTCTCTCTCTCTCTCTCTCTCTCTCTCTCKCTCGCTCGCTCGCGCTCTCTCTCTCTCTCCCTGTGTGTGTGTCTCTCTCTCCCTCTCTGTCTCTCCCTCTCTCTCTCTCTCTCGCTCTCTCTCTCTCCCTGTGTGTGTGTCTCTCTCTCCCTCTATGTTTTCTCTCCCTCCCTCCCTCTCTCTCTCTCCCTCCTCTGTGTCCCTATCTCGCTCTACCCCCTTCTCTCTCTCTCTCCCTGTGTGTGTCTCTCTCTCCCTCTATGTTTTCTCCCCCTCCCTGTCTCTCTCTTTCTCTCCCTCCCTCTCTCTCTCACTCTCCCCCCTCTGTGTCCCTATCTCGCTCTACCCCCTTCTCTCTCTCTCTCCCTGTGTGTGTGTCTCTCTCTCACTCAATGTTTTCTCCCCCTCCCTCTCTCTCTCTTTCTCTCCCTCTCTCTCTCCCTCTCCCCCCTCTGTGTCCCTATCTCGCTCTACCCCCTTCTCTCTCTCTCTTTGTGTGTGTGTGTGTCTCTCTCTCCCTTATGTTTCTCTCCTTCTGTCTCCCTCTGTCTTTCTCTGTCTCCCTATTTCTCTCTCTCAATTTTTAATTTAATTCAATGAGCTTCATTGCCATGACTGTGTATTACAATATTGCCAAAGCGTTACAATATAATAATAAAATAATGTAAAACAATGTGTTATTTTAGCGAAATAATAAATTATACATCAATAAAACTATACTATACATTAATAAAACTACCTACTATCTCTCTACCCCTATGTCTTCCTATCTTGCTCACCCCCACCCCCCTCCCCCTCTCTCTCTGGTTTGGTGAGTGACACCAGCTGCCCACGAGCTCCACCTACCTGCCCTGCGCGTGCCCCCACAGTCACAGCGTGCATGGCTGCTATCATCCACAACTGAAGGAACTGCTATTTATATCTGATGTCTGCCATTATTAATTGTGCTAACGTTACCTTGGTTACTGGCTTAACAGTTTGTTTATCTCCGTACCTCACCTCCTTGTACTCAGGGGCAGCTCTAACTTATATGTGACCCTTGGTGTAACCCCCCTTAGCCCATAGCTGAGTCTCAATTCAGGCGCTACATTCTTCGGAGGATGCGAAGGCCAAACCGATATGAGATGGTGCGGTCTACAAAGTAGTTATGTGATCAGGATCACAAGCTCGGGAAGCATCCACCTGTTGGAGCCTTAGTTTCTCGGGGGGTGTCAACTGCATTTAAAGGGGCCGCTGACATGGGACATCCTAGTCGCGCTGCCCAAAGACAAAATCAGTCTTCAGGTGCAGCCTTCGAAGGAAGTGGCTCCTGAATTGAGACACGGCTCATGTCAGCTTGCTCTGGACCATTTTAATATTTACCATAAAGGTCAGAATACGGGCGCACTTTAAACTTAAGGGCGACTGATTTGACCAAGGAGATTCAAAGTGAGGATGCACGTTGTTATGTTTTTAACACAAGACACACGCAAAAGTTAAAAAACAATGTTATGTCTCTGCTTGCTGCACCACCCCTTACATGAACGCTCCAGGGAGTTCTGTTTCTGTTTAAATCCACAAAACACTTTTGAAGTTTCAGGGGTTATCAGCGTTGTAGCCAAATCCAATACAATTGAAGTAACTGGGGACTTCTTCTTCAAACATAAAAAATCATAAAATGCCTCCATACTGCTCTTGTGGTGTAATCCAAGTGTCCATAAACTCTGACATTCAGATTAGACCCAAAGCAGCCTCATTTATTCCATGTTTTTAGCCTAAATGTCCTTGGAAGTAGCGATGCTAGCAAAAGTAGCTTTGTTGGCGAAAGTAGCGATTCTACCACGCACCCCGTCCGTGTCCTTGTGTGTGCAGTGAGTGTGCGTGCGTGACCATGAACGTGAAAAATACCAAAAACCACAGAGGAAAAAATAAATAAACCTCAGCGAGCGATCCCTCTTCCAGGACAGACAGAAGTGCAATAAATGCCACATCTCATCAACAAAATTACCATATTTATTTTGATTAAAATAAACAGTCTTTAACATAATGGAAAGGTCTGTCAATGTTTAAGTATTTATCCATAAGAAAATGTCTGATAGAGATAAAGGCAGCAGCGTGCAACAGTTTCACACAGGTATATTGAAGGACTGTACATGACTAGATCTCATTGAAAAAAAACTATACTTTCTGTGTAAAAATACTTCTATGTGTCAGTAAAACACAAATATTTCTACCATAAAAATGATTGGTTCATATTTTATGACCAAATATATTTAATGAAGGATTTGTGAAGTGAATCGAAAACTGAACTGTAAAGCACTTGGTCATTAAGACCAGAAAAGCTTTATATGAATACCATTTACCATTTGCATGGATATAATGCAATTAATTGAACAGTTCTGATTGTGTGACTTGACTGCTTTGAATGCTTGCAGAGCGTTCACATGTAATTCTTTTTTGTTTGCATGTACTTTTTGCATATGTTTAACATGTGTAGTGTATGTTTAACATTTCACCTTTTAACACGTCTAGAGCTTCCACCTACAAGATATGTCTGTCATGCAGTTTAGTTGACTGTGACTGCGGTGACCCTGTGATAGACTGGTAACCTGTCTCATCCAGTGCTGGGATTGGGTCCAGCCCCACAAAAGTTTTCTGCCCAATAATGACAATATATGACAGTAAAATAGCTTAACCAAACTCTTGTTTTTTCATTTTCTCTATCCTAAATAATCCAACCTACAATTCAACTTTTTTTTCTCCGCTCATATATTTCCAACAAGTGCCACAAAAGCCAGTTGTGTTGGTAAAGCATCATCAACCGACATGAAACAAGCCTTAAAACATCACCTGATCCTGTAAAATGTCCATTTATCTGTGCATAATGGACAATTGGAATAATAGACAGAGGGGGAGGAACTGTGGGCTTGTGGGGATTTACCAGTTTCTTTTTGTGTTGGGTCAGTCAAGCAGCTTAATCCAAGCATGTGCCTCCACAACCAGCTTCGGTTGTTGCCTGGTTGTAGTGACACACGTTGCTTCACACTAAATTTGAACACGTAACATTATGACCAGGCATTCAACATGAAGAGTGACAAAATCACGTCACTGGTCATCCAGCCAAGTGGTGGACGTCATGGGGAAGTGCAGCTCGTACATGTTGGCTTGCTTGGATACACTCAGGTCCAGTGTCAGGTGTTTGCAGGGTTCTGCCTGCCTGCTGAGAAGTGCATGCCCATTGCGAGAACATGCACAGCTAAAGAGGAAACTAACGGTGTTATGCTAACACAGACTGACATCGCTGTCAGCAGCCCGGCAGGAAATAATCCTATTTCATAACTGAGCTATGACCAAGACGGCAAGTTTAAGCCAAAGGTATATAAGACATCAAGGAGGCTATATGACAAAAAAACATCGATGAATGTATCCCTCTAACAAGCACTGTGTGTTCAAACCCTGCCATGTCATTAAGCCCATTGTTGTACAAGCCATTAAAATATATCAGTGAGCCACACTGAGTGAGATGTTCCTACATTACCCTGAACGCACCATCCCAGGGCCTATTTCACCAAAGCGTTTTGCATACACATGCTTTCTTGATTGCAAATTGTCCAGCTCTTTTTATTCTTGGTATCCTCCCCAAAACTATACTAGGAAATATAGTCTGACCTACTTATTGAGGATTTTGCTCTTCTAGAAAATGATTAGTCTCAAGCTTAAAGCCACAACCGACAGGCATTAGAGCAACAGAGATAAAGGGTTAAGATGTTGTTCAGAAGAGGCTTATACTGAAAATAGAAACGTTTATAGACCGAAGAGCACCACTTTAACACCAACCTACACAATGTGTCTGAAATATAAACTATAACCCCAATGTGTTCATTTACCTATCTCTTGTCATTATTATATGGTTTCAATCTTTGTATTTGTTTGTTTGTCAGACATCATGCATTGCCCTGTTAAATTTCAAATTGAGGTCATGTGGCGGACAAAGAATGTTCAAAGGCTGAGGACTTTGTTTTTCATCTGCATGGCTTTATTTGAAATTTAAGTTCGATTTATTATCTATATTAAAATAATCTTGCAACATCCCTTCAGTGTCTCGTAAACCCCCCTGGGGGTCGCAACCCTTAGTCTGGGAACCACTGTACGGCATGG